GAGGGAGGGAAGAAGCTAGTTTATAGATTTCAATATATGCCATACTTAGAATATACTGTTATTAACATAACAACAATGGGACCACCTGGGACTTGTATGTCCATAAAGTTGGAGTCAGACATGCATATAATATCTTCTTTGTAAACGTCTTCCTATGATACATTTTTTATGTATGGTTTAAAGTTGCAACTAAAAACTCCAGCATGGATAGGACTTAATGGAAAGAAGTTGAGCTCCTGAACAGGCTCTGCCAATGACTAAGTTTTCTTAAATAGGAGAGAAATGGTTTTCTTAAATAGGAGAAAGTCATTTCAATGTCCGAACCTCAGTTTTTACATTTACACAACCATTACATATTTTTGAAGTTTCCTTATGGTCTGAAGAAGTTACCTTGGCCAGCCTGGTTGGTGCTTTGCATAGGGAAGTTATTTAATATCAGTCTTTTACTCCTACCTTAAGTTGATATACCATTATCCAGGTCTTAACCACCTTGAAAATTGTCCCCATCAGGTAGAAACATCTTAAGTTTCAAAGATCGACATTTTGATTTCTGAAAGTGTTTATGCAAATACAAATCAGCTTTCCCACCTTTCCATGTTCTCTGTACCAATAAAAATAATACATATCCCAAAATAATTTGGTTTCATTAGTCCCAAACATGGAAGGTCACTCATTAAAAATATTTCCTAAGAGTTTACCATGCACATGTAGAATGTATAAGACAACTATAGCTGAAGAGAAAAAATACATACTTCCCTAACTTTTACCTTACTATTTCACTTTCATAAATTTTCAGGGAAAATGCAACCAAACTTTCAAAACCTAATGCCCTCTATATAAGCCCTGTTTTTTTCCCCCACCTCAGGTGTTTTCTAGACACATCTCTGCCCATTCAAAATCTTACATATCCAACTATTCTCTAGTTTTCTCACACATTTCAAGAAATATTTAGAATCTGTCTAGTTTTTATAGATGAAGAGCCTGAAAAACACAGTTATTAAAAGGATATGTCTAATGTCACGCAACCTGTTAGTGACAAGAGTTAGATCTCAGAAGTTTCACTTGCAGCCTAGATTAAAAAACAAACAAACAAACAACAACAACAAGAAAAAACACATACTAAACTGGGTGCAGAAGGTTCATGCCTATGAATCCCATTGCTCAGTAGAGTGAGGTAGGAGGATTCCAAGTTCATGGCCAGCATAGGCAACTTAGCAAGACCAGATCTCAAAAAATACAAGGGATGGGGATATAGCTCAGTAGTAGAATATCCATAGGTTCAATCGCCAGTATTAAAAAACAATTGCACTCTATTAAAAACTTATGCATTATTTATACTATTTTCTTAGTAACTTTTATGACTTCATAATATCTTCAGTTGTTTAAATTTTCTCATCTGTTGAAGTTTATAAACTTGTTTAAGGCAGTTGCTCTTTTTAATTTTTGTAGTTGTAGATGGACAGCATGCCTTTATTTGTTTCATTTTTTTGTGGTGCTAAGGATTGAACCCAGTGCCTCACAGATGCTAAGCAAGTGCCCTGCCACTGAGCCCAACCCCAGACCCAGCTCCAGCTCCAGTTGCTCTATCTTGCACTCTCAGAAAATCCTGGTTAATGTTTTAACTACAGGTGGTATTTAATACAAGGTAACAGGTTGGCATCTTTGCACCATTCATCTTCCCTGAGTAACTCTTTATAGAATGTTTTAAGTCACCTGGAAATACTATTTTCCCCTGTCTTCAAATGATCTACTTTCTGGATCTTTCTGACTTCCTCCAATCTCAGAGAAGAATCCCCTTGTCTTCTTTTTAAATATGAGCTGAGATTTTGAATGTGAATGTGAATAACTATTGTCTCCTTCCAAATACCACTGCTCTCTCTGCTCTTAGTTGCTCCAATGTGCCTCCTTTCCCAGAGCCAACACATACATAGTTCTCTCCTATTTAAGAAAACAAAAACCAAAGCAACCCTTCCTTCAAATCTGGTCCCATCCTCAAGAAAGGAACCTTCCTATATCCCCTCAATAAAAATCTTGAAAGAGAAACACAGAACAGCATACTTATTATTTTATTTTCTATTTTAATGTAATATTTGATGCACAAAGTTTACATGGGTCAGAAAAAATTGTGAAAAACTTTGAAATGGGCAAAAAAGATTACTAAGTATCCTTATGTTCAGTGCATCATTTTGGCCCTACATGTTGCTGAAGCCCAGTAATAATA